CCCGGCCCCTAGACTAGACCGCCTCTTAAATAAGACACTGAAATCCCAGTAGACCTTTGAGGCCAGACTGCAGTGACCTCACTTTCTCCCCATGACGTCACTTTCCCCAATGACTTCACTTCCTTCCATGACCTCACTTCCTCCCAGTGACATCACTTTCCCCAATGACCTCACTTTCTCGGTGATGTCACTCCCCTTAGACTGCCTCTTAAAAACACCGAAATTCCAGTATACCTTTGAAGGTTTTTTTTTGTGGAACCAGGGATTGAACTCAGGCCCTCGCACTTGCCAGGGAAGCGCTTATTCCACTGAGCCTGAGACCACACTATAGTGACCTCACTTTCTCCCCATGACGTCACTTTCCCCAATGACCGCTGTTCCTTCCATGACCTCACTTCCAGTGACGTCACTCCCCTTAGCCTGCCTCTTCACACTGAAATTTCCATATCGCGCTGAGGCCACACCCCCAATGACCTCACGTCCTCCCAGTGACGTCATTCCCCACCAGCCTCCGCCTCTTAAAGGGATCGCCCTCTCCCAGCAGCACCAATGCTGCGTTCTCGGTGGCCGGAGCGCAGGGCCGTGCCAGAGCAGGAGGGTCTGCGCACGGCTACCCCGAGGCCACCCCTGCGTGACCACGGGACTCGCCGGCGCTGTGCTCCGCCGACCCCAGGCAGCTCCCAAAGCCACCCAGGCAGACCGCGGAGCTCAGCCTCGCCACCCCCTCGTGACCTGGAAGCCGGGGTGTCCGCAGAGGCTGGGCTCCCCAGACCTGGGCGCCCCGCCGGGCCTGCCCTGCACCCCTCCCGGGACCCCGGAGCCCGGAGCTGCGGTCCCCAGGGGACAGCGGAGCCCTGGCGCGCTCCCACGCCTTCGCGCAGTGGCCTCGGCGGCGTGGAACCCGTGTCCGTGGCGGGGCGTCCACAAGGGCTCCGGCGTCCAGCTGCGCCTGTAGAGTTTGCTAGTTATTTTTAATCCCTTTGTGTTGAAAAAGGGGTATTTGATCACCTTCGTGCCGCACGTTCCCAAGGACGGGGCACGGGAGGTGGTCAGTGGCATAAGCGCTTCTGTGGCAAGTGCAAGGGCCTGAGTTCGATTCCAGGTTCCGAAGGAAAAATCCCCAGACGAGAGGTCCCTGCAGCGACCGCGGACTAACGAGGCGACCTTGTGTTTGCAGCAGCCGGAGGCCGAGCGCACCTGCCGCCCCGCCGCCGAGTCGCCCCGCGCCGAGCCCGGGCTCGGGCCTGCAGGAAGCCCCCCGGGCCAGGCTGCCTTCCCGGAGTTTGGAGCGTGTCGAGATTAATTCCCCATACACTGAGCTGTCAAGTCCAGACCGCACGACGCTGGGACACTTAGGGGTCGCTCTGTGCAGTGGGAGCGGGCGCGCTTTGGCTTTTTAAATTTCTCTACCAATGAAATGAAACATGCTTTATTCTGACTTCGCTTTTTTGCTCATTTTTATCTTAAACGTCGTCTTCTGCACCTGCGCATTTCTTGAAATCAGGGCCCAGCAGTGACGGGAAAATGCCCTCGCTGTGCCCCTTGGTCTCCGGGCGGTAGTTAGCGCAGTGGAGAGAGGAGCGGAGCGCGCTGGGCGCACTGCGAGTGTTTGCGCACGTCTCCCGTGTCAGTCAGCTTGCTGTGACTGTAAGAACTACCCGAAACCACCAGGTTTAACAAGTAGGAAGGTTTCTTGGGCCCACAGCTTTGGAGGTCTGGGCATGCCACCGCTGGGTCCCGGGCTCCGGGGCTCGCGGCGCGCTGGTGCGTATGCAGAGACGAGCGTGGCTGGCTGGATGCGCTGATGGCAGGAGGCGCGCGGTGCTTGTGGGCGGTGCGTGCAGGAGCAGACGGTGTGTGCAGACAGTGCGTGCAGG